ATATATTTATGAAAATATCATTTTTATACAGTAAAATAGTTGTTCTAAAAAATTCCGCTGATATTGGCGGTTTACTTTGACGACTGCAATATATTTCTGAATCATTTGTGTAAATTGCTCCTTATTATTAAAATATCCAAAATTAGAACAAAGCTGAACACAAATTTGGAACTAACGTCTTTAGCTATGTCCTGTGAAAATTTGAGAAAAATTTGTTAAAACCCACAGGAGCACAACTCGTTTAAATATCAGTAATTGCCGTAAAATTCTTCGGGAGAAAATTTAATTTGAATATTACATTTTCAATGTTTTTCTTATTGCAGCGAAATGTATTTTATTAAATAACTCTGCGAGTTTTCAACATTTTTCGTCCAAAGTTGGTCAGATAGTAGAACTAGTCTAATGCTTTCATGGAAACCAATAAAAACATTTTAGGCAAAATTAACACTCAAAGGTGTTCTGTAACCTTAAGCATATAAAAGCGTTTGACAAAGTAGCATAGCTGTAGTATATACCTTTTTTAGACAGTGGTGTGCTGGTTTCACATTCACTTGTAATTTGTGTAGTTGACTCATTTTCTGTTTCACTTTCTGAAAAATTGTACATTTTGAATACTTTTACTTTGTTAGGTCATTGCCATTCAATTGTATTTTATTTGCTTGGTAAAGTAAAGTTAAAGTACATTATTTTACCTTGTTTACCAGTTTCAAAAAGTCTTTGCTTCACGCTTACTTGTTTTGCAAAGATTGATGGAATTGCATTCATGTGTTGTCGAATGGCCTGTTTTTTAAATAACTACTGAAGTAGTCATCTTGGAAATGATTCGCACATAATTTGCAGTTGTTATTATAAAGGTAAACTCAGCTGCTCTTTTCTACCACAATTTCTCACCCATTGTTTTGATCTAAAATTGTTTAATGTGTGTCATTTTTAAGGACTGCAATGGCAAATGTTTTATCTTGAAACAATTTTTGAATATAACAATTATTTTTTTTAAAAGACAGCTTTAATATATAAGGTAATAATTGTTCAATACTGTTATATAAAAAGACGTAGTTTTCCGTCGATAGGATTACCTCTCTGCATCCTTTGGGAAACTGAAAAACGACAAAGTTGTAACGATTAGTAACATTATTAAAACAACCAGCTGCTGAACACCAAGTGGTTCCATGCATCATAACATGATTTATCTTTTCAGTTTGAGCCATATTTTGTTTTTTTTTTTACAAATAACAAAGGCCATTTAAATCTTGCGCAATTTAGCAGCAACGTCTTGCGAGAGAGACTTCTGGTTTTCGAACATGCCTGTCAAAGTATATGAACGCAAAATTTCAGGTCAGATAGCTATCTTTTTCACATTCGCCTTTTAAAATGAAGGCAAAAAAAGAAAACAAACTTAATGTTTCTGGCAAAACAAACTTAATGTTTCCCACCGTGGCCAGGCATATTTTTCAAGCCTGCCCGGTGTGGATATACACTCAGAGTAACATCACACAAGCATCTTATTCACCCGAGTACATTACACCAACACAGCAGATAACATTATTACTAGATTACACTGATATCGAAGGAACTAGACTCAGTTCCGAAATATTGCATACTCGAACCGACCTGACCGCGTAACTCACTAGATTTTGCCCCCTCTAGTGTTATTTATAATCTCTATGTGTATATCGTCCAAGGTAAATAGACTTTGAATTCCACATGTCAAGTTGAAAACACCAGAACACTTAAATTTCAGTAAGTTTTCTATCGTTTGAGTCTTGATTTATGTTGATATTTTCGTTTGAATCTTTACATTATTATTGTTGTAAACTTTATTGGACAGTAAAACAAGACATACCAAACTGCACAAGTGCAAACAGGACTCAAAGTCCCATGCGAGGCACTCTACCAGCCTCATACCCAGGCGCTATGTGTTGTTCTGGGCTTGCGCAGCCTTTGCATGGGCTGTGTGGATTAATTTGATCGATTTCGTGGTGAGGCGCCTGGCAGAATCCATTTCGATCGGACTCAAATAAACGGAGCGGACTCAAATAAACTGGATTTTTAGCGGTTTGAAATACCACTTTTCATTGAAAACTGTATGACATTGATGAATCTTTCAAAAGAATAACTGTTGAATGTAAATTTGTGCGAATATTGTGCTTATTTAAACTACACAAAGTCGGGTATATTAAAATACTATATAATTAATTAATTATATTATCAAACAGCCTAGTGTAAATTCGTTTTGGAGTGAATCTACGTAGCCTTCTTTGTTTCAGTCGCTTTATGGATTGAATATGTCACAGAAATTTCATTGCAATATGATGAAAGGCATCAGAATACCGATCTCAAGAGGCTCAAACTCTCAAAGAATTCGGCGGCCTATAGGCGGCGGCAAACCGTTTATATTTGTAAACAGTCAAAACAATAGATATTTGTGTGTCATCCTGTAGAGTTTAGTACAGTAATTTACGTTTAATATACTGGATTTAAAACATGATGAGAATGATTAAAATGACGAGAAATATAACTAGGTTCAAAATAACCAGTGATTTGCAAATAAAATATGAATTGGCAAGTAATAAAAAGCAATATATCGCACGACAACACCTGGCCTAGCCAAGGTCAAAATATACCTATATTACTAATATTCGAACCATATGGCTTAGTCTAGGACCTGTATATGAGTTTGTATGCGATTCATTTAGGACAGGTAATCTCAACTGTTTTAAGGTAAAATGACCATGGCAGTCAACATGGCATATGTGCGAAAACCTGAATCCGGGACAAAAGTCCTGAAAATGACCCCGCCCTGAAACGGCAGTGTCAACATAGCTCTAACTTCCGGAAAGGAAAAACGATAGCCTTTCTGAAGTGCTTAAGTGTTTAGAAGGGTTGCTTTTAGGGGTGGTCATTGGAAGGAAAAATTTGTCGAAGTATAATATTTTACCGGAAAATGACTATGCACCACCCCAGGTAAATTGCTGATTATGCACAAAATAACTAATATGCCTGGCAGAAATTAAATATTCTTATTTCCTAAAAAAAATAATCATGGGGTGAAAAACTATGCTTAATTTAATATAAATAGTGTTGATTTCATAAGGATTGTTATTGTTTTCTTTAAATATAATACATTTTATTTCACTTACCCCCCACGAAAACACGATTTCAGCCATATTTTGCCGTCTTGTTTGCTTTTTATCGCCGAATCTCGCAAATATCATCCAGTTATTGTACTTTTACATAATCATAACTGGCTGAAGAAGATTTCAAAGAAGGTTTCATCCACTTTTGTAACAGTGCAGTGTATTTTACCTTCGATATTGTGTCCTTCGATATTCCGCCAAATTGCCGCCATTTTAATGGCTCGCCGCTTCTCTGTCTGATAAATGCAACTTCTTCGTTTCCATATGTATTTAGATTACAGTATCCAACAGTACTTCATTGTAGAATAGTCCCAATCCAAAAATTGGCAGCATTTGTCCCATTAGGAAGGAAAAATCCTCCCGTATATCATTTAGGTTCAAAATAAAAAACAAATCATTTGAAAGTCACGCGCAATCTTCGCGAAAACCTCTCGTGGACACATGACAGGGGGGGTTGAATATTTTCACGAATATGTTCGCCACCACAGAAACATAACTAAATATATTGTATTTTTATGATTTATAATAAAAACAATAAATATTTGCGTAGTTTTGTCATAAATCATAAAAATACAATAAATACAATATATTTAGTTATGTTTCTGTGGTGGCGAACATATTCGTGAAAATATTCAACCCCCCCTGTCATGTGTCCACGAGAAGTTTTCGCGAAGATTGCGCGTGACTTTCAAATGATTTGTTTTTTTATTTTGAACCTAAATGGTATACGGGAGGATTTTTCCTTCCTAATGGGACAAATGTTGCCAATTTTTGGATTGGGACTATTCTACAATGAAGTGCTCTTGGATACTGTAATCTAAATACATATGGAAACGAAGAAGTTGCATTTATCAGACAGAGAAGCGGCGAGCCATTAAAATGGCGGCAATTTGGCGGAATATCGAAGGACACAATATCGAAGGTAAAATACACTGCACTGTTACAAAAGTGGATGAAACCTTCTTTGAAATCTTCTTCAGCCATTTATGATTATGTAAAAGTACAATAACTGGATGATATTTGCGAGATTCGGCGATAAAAAGCAAACAAGACGGCAAAATATGGCTGAAATCGTGTTTTCGTGGGGGGTAAGTGAAATAAAATGTATTATATTTAAAGAAAACAATGACAATCCTTATGAAATCAACACTATTTATATTAAATTAAGCATAGTTTTTCACCCCATGATAAATTTTTTTAGGAAATAAGAATATTTAATTTCTGCCAGGCATATTAGTTATTTTGTGCATAATCAGCAATTTACCTGGGGTGGTGCATAGTCATTTTCTGGTAAAATATTATACTTAGACAAATTTTTCCTTCCAATGACCACCCCTAAAAGCAACCCTTCTAAACACTATAAGCACTTCAGAAAGGCTATCGCTTTTCCTTTTCGGAAGTTAGAGCTATGTCGACACTGCCGTTTCAGGGCGGGGTCATTTTCAGGACTTTCGTCCCGGATTCAGGTTTTCGCACATATGCCATGTTGACCGCCATGGTCATTTTACCCTAAAACAGTTGAGATTACCTGTCCTAAATGAATCGCATACAAACTCATATACAGGTCCTAGACTAGCTCTAAATTATACAAATCTTGACAAAAAAAATCAAATTTTGTATCTCAAGTACAAATTTTGAGGTTAATACGATAAATACAATGCGTGATATAGAACTGATATTGAACAAAAACAGCAAAATCATGACACTAGCTGTAGTGACTGTATAGTTAATATTAAAACAGTATGAACAAGGCAAACTATTAAAAGTTTAAGTTAAATATTGCACTCCAAAGAGTACTGGTAATGTACGAACCCGTATTTTGCTGTAAACAATGTCATTTCAATAATATATAAATAATACAGAACACTTGCAGAACACTGACTCGCCATTTTGAATGCAAATTCTACCAGGCGCTTCCTGCTGAATTTTCCGTTTTTCTCCCTTGTGTGCAATCCCATGTGTACTTAATGACGTAAACAAACCAAAGGCGCCTGGGTACGAGGCTGGCACTCTACCTTTTTACAAATTAATTAAATTACAAAATTATTGTTACGAATACTATACTACAACCAAAATAAACATATGCCAATTGTTTGAAGCTCAGACATATTTATGTGGTTGGTTTAATAAAGTGATTATTACTATAAAAAAACAGCTAGAAACTAATAATTAAGACCCATGACACAAACAATTACGACGTAAAGACCAAGTACATGGCATATCTACACTAAAACTATTTTCTAATAAATGTACGTATGTTGTTGACAAAAGAGATTTATAAAACAGTTAGACTGCGATGGTCTGCAGGAAAAGCTATTTTACAAACACAATTCCAGAGAGGGACAATATGTAGAAGAAAGATTACTGGAAAGCACTTGTTTTACATGACAGAACTTTAAGTACAAGAGAAGGATTTTCACAATTACGAGCACGATTATGACTAACAAACAACACAAAATTGGAAATATTTAAATTGCAAAATTCATTCAGCAACTTAAAGAAATATGTCAAAGATATGAAATATGGAGAAGATCTATCATCTGCATTCCATCCCTATATGTCAGGTCCCACGTTTGGAGGATCCATCTTGTGGCACACCTTTGAACTCTCTCCAACAGCGTTTTGTTGTTATACTGCGATGGTGACCAGACTTCTGCAGCGTAACACAGCTGGAATTGTCTGGGGTACTCGACCCAGCATTATATTGGCCTTGCTAAAAATCTGAGATATATGTGTGTTCCAACAGAGGTTACTTGTCAAAGTGATCTCGAGATCAACTTCACTGTCCACACGTTTCAAATCTGCAGAACCAAGATGGTAATTGGCGATGAGCGGCCTTCTACGGTGGGAGATTGTCATTATTTTGCACTTAGGTGTTGAATGCAATGTTTGAATCAACGCTGCACTATCCTCGTTAGACATTATAGCCTTGTGTAGCTTCGCATCATCAGTGTACAGTCCTGTTGATATTGCTTGAGGGATTGTGTCTGGGAGATCATTAATGAACAGAAGCAAAAGCATGGGACCTAAAAATGCTGACTTGTGACCTGAAATGCTACCTTATGGGACGCCAGAGATTACTGGGGACCATTCCGAAGCTACGTCTTCCACAACAACACATGTGTACGCCCACATAGGTAGCTACTGAACCAGTTGTAACGGTTTCCCAATGTTCCATACATTCTTAGTTTCATTAGGAGAATGTTATATGATCAACCGAATTGAATGCCTTTACGTTGCTTTAATAGTGGCTGTCTCCCATACAGCCCCATCTTGAGTATTTCCAGGGGGAGATGCTTCTGTTTACGGTACTTGCTGAGTGATGAATCATGAAGAATAGAGCTTACCCCCCAAAAAAACAATGGAGATGGACTTCTGTGTAGTATTCTGTGTCAATGGGTTCCACCAAAATGGGCCATAGACACATTTTACTACTAAGGTTCCAATGAAATAACAACAGTTATTTGAGTACGTCCCGTTAAATAATCGTGGAATAGTTCAATGGTCTTGCATTTAAAACCATATCGAGATAATTTATTTAGAAGAATTTCATGGTCAATGGTATCAAAAGCTTTTTTTTAAGTCAATAAAAAGTATAGCATTGATTAAACCATTGTCCATATTGGAATACCATTTGTCAGTGATATCTAGCAGTGCTGTTAAAGTGGAATGCAAAGGCCTAAAACCAGATTGGGCATCTGAGAGAAGATTGTTATTACATAGGAATTCATAAGTTTGATCAAAGATCACTTTTTCAAATAATTTTGCAACCACAGATAATACGGATATAGGTCTATAGTTATTGGGGTCCATTTTGCAATCTTCCTTATGAATAGGAGTAACCCTAGCTCTTTTCCAGTCATGTGGGACAGTGCCAGTATGGATTACCAAATTTGGTTGTCTGGATACTGTTAGTCGCAAGTTGATGTGGTTGAAAGTTTGGGTTAGCAATTCGGATCCAAATCTGATAGCTAAATGGTACCTAGAAGACCTTTACGAATCTAGAAAAATGCCATCCATTTTGAGACTGGATAAAGGAACAGAAACTGTGGTCATCACAACAATGCATGCATTTCTCAGGCAGCATCATGGTGAGATGATTGGTAGCTACATCGCCGACGAGTAGAATACATAAGAGAACATGTGCTTTATTGTTCTTGATGTGGAACTGCATGCCATAACAGTACTTAGTATCAAATGGAAATGAAGGCTTGTCACAGGTCGAGCTCCAAATACGACTCAATATCTCCGGTATTGACAAAAGTTCTGCAGAAATCGTTACTTCACCATGTCCAAGTCTGTTTAAAAATGAACAAAATGATATAACAAAGACCTTATATCAACAACAAATTATATTACAGAAGTAAGATATACTGTAATAACTAATATGAAACAAACCAGTTTCACTGCAGTAACTAACATTAATTGTAAATATGTTTAAGTTTATAATATATTGGTAGTTGGTATACCTAATCAAAAGTCTTGTATACTAGATAGTACAGGAATTGAAACCCCAAATGCCAGGATATCTGCACAGGAATGAGGATTTTACAAGGCTGTATTGGTGGCAAGGTTTTCCAAGAAATGATAGCGTCAAAAATACTTGCACATAACATGGAAGAAATTTAGAACAGAAACACTCACGTACTTTTCTGATCCTTAGCACTTGAAGATTCTGGCATTATATAATACCATCATCATACAGCTCAGGCCTATATCTATTATATACTGAAAAAGCACAATTACAATTTTGACAACAACCATACTAATTAAAAGCAAAATGTCCCATCTGAAAATGGAGGACTTTAATTTTGTTAAATGCTTGGGATCTAGGTCAGGTCCTTCCCATGCTGTCCTGGATCAAGGTTAGGGGGTTTCATTTAATATCAATGTTAATATATGATAGTACATGACTTGTCAACATAACTTTAAAATGTATCACATCCATGCTTCCAGCCTACAACTTTGTAAGGCCAAGCAGTGTACAGAAGATATTACACTTGTGGCTTTTAGTAAAGTTAGTAATAGCCTCTGTGGAAAGATTGCCTGCAGTAAATAATATTTCATTCTCCTCACCAAAGAGTGTATACTTGAAGCAATTTCTGGGTCAAAAAGCCTATGGCCACAACCTTGAATGTCAATCAGAAGAAGCTTTTTATTGGACTTCTCAAATGAAAAATGTGTAGGGCATTCTGCTTTTTGAAGCATGTTAGTATCATTACATGGGCATACAATACCATCATTATTAATATATTTAACAAAATTGCCACCTACATATTCCTCTATAGTAACATACTCATCACCTTCTTTTCCAAGATATATATCTCCGACAGACTTTTAGAGCCACCGTTGTAACCTTTTTCTTTTCAGGACTTGGAAGCGAGTGTGGCCTTGAGTTACATTTGCATTTAGCAGGAACACTGGAAACCACCTAGACTTGCCACAGGTCGACCATGGGGGGGGGGGGGGG